TTTTTTATTTACTGAAAATTTCGGCAAAATTGACAGGTACGCGAACTCCTGTGCCACACTGTAGTTTTCTGAATCCATATCACCACTCTCTGAAACTGATGACGTAGTACGCAGTTTGTTGTCATTGTTGATATTTTGTGTGTTATACAGATAGTTGTCAGTGATGTCATTATTTGTGTTTTATACTGTTAGTTGTCAGCGATGTCATTATTTGTGTGTTAAGCAAACAGTTGTCAGTGGTGTCATTATTTTGTGTGTTATATAGATAGTTGTCAGTGATGTCATTATTTGTGTTTTATACAGTTAGTTGTCAGCGATGTCATGATTTGTGTGTTAAACAAATAGTTGTCAGTGGTGTCATTATTTTGTGTATTATACAGATAGTTGTCAGTGGTGTCATTATTTGTGTTAATTTTTCTAGTGCTTATGTTGAGTTTGTACAAGTAAAGGTGACAATGTATACTTTTCAATAATTATCAACCAACATTAAAGCTAAACTTATTGTCAGTACCCGTAGCTCTGTAAGGAACCAGACCAGAGTTAGCTGATCTTTAGTTTTGATCAGTTTTAAAGTTTTGTGTTGAAAGACAAAAGATAAAAGTCAATTTAGGGTACGCTGAAGACAATGGGGAGAAAGTAACATAATTTTGACTGAAATGATTGATTGATTGATTGTATATTGTTTAACGTCCCTCTTGAGAATTTTTCACTCATATGGAGACGTCACCGATGCCGGTGAAGGGCTTCAAATTTAGACCTATACTCGGCACTCAGGGCCATTGAGCAGTGAGGGTTCTTTATCGTGCCAACGCCTACCGTGACACGGGACCTACGTTTTTAAGGTCATATCCGAAAGACCCGTGATTTTCACTTCTAGTGCCGAGCGCTTGGCGAAGGAACAGTCACTACCTTTGTTTACGTCTTAGGTATGACGCGGCGCCGCGATCGAGAATCGAACCCGGGCCTCCCGATCACGAAGCGAACGCTCTACCACTAGGCTACCGTGACCGGTTTGACTGAAATGTATGCACTTTTAAATACATAAGATAGAATGATGAAATTGAAATATAGAGTTATTGAACTTATATTGGTGAATATTGGCACAAGTTGGTTGTTCAAATGCACGAGCTTGCAAGTGCATTTAAAAAACTACGAGTGCCAATATTCACCAGTATAAGTTCAATAACTCCTTTATTATATAGCTAAAACATTTCCAAATAATTCATAATAAATAAACCAACTAAAGAACCTCACATTAATGCTTTTTTAGTATCGGTAATCAAATTAACGTCTGTTCTGTAAGCGTTCAATATAGCATCATTCCGATGACCCAACTGAACGATATGATTCGCTTATTTAGGTTTTAATGGGTCTAATATGCGTACTAAATTGTTAATAAATAAATTCATTTTGTGTGAAAAATAAACACATTTCACCTAGATGCCACTTTCTTTCTTTAATTTAGCTCTGAGAATTTGACCAGATGACTTTTTTGTCTTCAACAGGGTGTTCGATATTGAACGCTCGTATTCGGAATGTTTCGGGCATACTCGTCAAGATATTCAACCCTAAAATTCTCGAGATTTTTGGCAGTATTTTATTAGAGACAATTTAGTAGCTATATGATAATGTTTATTATTCCCTCTTAGCTGCAATTCATTATGTACTAATTTTTAAGTTTCACAAACTTATTATCTATAAATTGAATAAAGGTAAGGTTCATACTGAACTAACGGTAAAGTTATATGAGTTGATCAAAATCATATCGTATATGTTCGTCAAATGTAGAGAGGGGGGGGGTGGTTTGCTGGCAACTGACTATTCTCAATTCGAGTTACGCATGATTGCACTTATATCCCAAGATGCCAAGCTGATACAGATCCTGAACGGTGACGGAGACGTTTTCAAACTATCACGGCTCAGTGGAAGTCAATCAGCGTGGAGGAGGTCACTCAGTGGAGAGACAGCAGGCTAAACAGGTGATGGGTCACCTGGTCAAAAGGAGGTCAGAGAGACAGAAGGCTAAACAGATGAGTGGCATGGGGTCAAAAGGATAATCTATACAGGTGAGAGGTCAAAGGGTCACAATGTCAAGCTGTAGACTCAATCAGGTTAGAGAAGTCCGTCCCTCTAGTTGTCTGTCTGTCCGTCTGTTAACAATTTTTTAAAAATGCTACTCCTTCTACAGTCTGACTGCAATGTTACTTGGCACACAAGTAGACGAAACTAAGTTAATAAATTCTATGTATCCGTCTTTAATTTCAATGAACTATGTTGCCATGGTAACTGAAATTAGAATTTGAAAAAATCTCAAAATACAGGTTTGGTATGATTTCAATATACGCATGTACCCCGTGAATTTGAGACCTATTTCCTGACCTCACTGTGGCCCCTGTATATTCTAAATCTTAAAACCAAAACTTATTTTGTGGCAGGGGTGATAACAGGTTTTTAAGGATAAACTGTAGAATCATTCTGAAAGACAACCTTAATTGGGGACCAAATACTGCTCTTACCCTATCTTGTCCTTTATTATTGTTATTCCCCGTCAGTTTATAAACAAGTTTACATATTATAATTTGTTTACTTTAGATACCACGGTTAATGTATCTGGAAACAGATGTTGTATATTAGTTCTACAACTTCACGATGAACTGATTTATGACGTGACAGAAACCTTTCTGAGACAAGCAGCCAAGGTCATCAAACAGGAATGGAGTCAGCCATGACCTTGTCTGTCAAAATGCCAGTAAAGGTCAAAACTGGGTTGTCGTGGCAAATAATGCAATATCTAGATATGTGAGTTTAAAAAAAACCAAATATCTTTGGTTAGATCAAGAGTATGATAATTATGATATTACAATGTATTTCTGTTCTTATTAAGAAAACGTTATTTTTTTTAAAGTTATTATTATTCAAATAAGTGCCCGAATCAAATGAAATAGAATATCTTAAATCTATAGTGTATATAATGTACCTCATATTTCATATTGTCATTTGACAGTATGTTTGGTACCTGATACATAGAATAAAATGGAATTTTATATGAATTTAATCAGATCTAATCAGAATCTAAACTGTTTTATAGGAATAACATATGGTTGTTTATTTTTTACATGCATGTAATTTAATACTGTAATTAAATTAAATTCCAAATACCAAGTGTAACAAATATACTGTGTATTTGTCACTTAGTTGATCTTTTACTTGTCTTTTTTTTTTACCCGTTTACTTGTACATTGTCTGTTTTAAACTATAGAACAACTAAACGAACAAAGCAGCAATAGCTTCAATAAATGACAGATTTGTGAATTATGTGTTCTCTGAGATTGAAAGGAAAGCCAAAAGAACTCGTTTGAAAACAAAATAACAAGCTACATGTGGCAATGCTATTGTGCATATTTGCAAAAAAAAATTATAAAATAAAATTAAAAAAAACTATATGCACTAATACTTCAAACATAATAAAGGAATACTGCCATTAAGTGTCCATGCGGTTGTAAGCATTGAAAACGGTTTGACAATATATTTATTCACCCATTAACTTCATCCTTCACCCTTTCCCACTACCAGACATGGTGGTATTGTTTTTTTAAATAGTATACTCAAAATAAAGCTATATTTCTTCCAAATATATCTATTATTGGCAAAAATAGTGTCCATTAAGGGTATACGTATCGGGAAATAAGTGTATGCAAAACGTATGGCAAAATTTAAAGATTTTTATCGTGGCTAGGCCGTACGTATGGCACATCATCCTTGTACCCTGTATTTTTTACACTACAGGGAAAAGAGATATATGCGTACTCAGTTGTAATATGAAATTCAATAATACTTGAAATCAGTTTTAAATTTAAAAACTTACTAGTATTTACCTGAGCTGAACGGTCAAGTGAACTTTTCTGATAACATTTTGTCTACAGTCCGTCTGTCTAGCTGTCTGTCCGTCCGTCTGTCTGTAAACTTTTCACTTTTTCGACTTCTTCTCAAGAATCACTGGACCAATTTTAACCAAACTTGCCACAATGCATCCTTGGGTAAAGAGAATTCAAATGAAGGGCCAGGCCCTCTTCTAAGGGGACATATTGTGAATTTATGAAAAATTAATGGTATCTTTTAAAAATCTCCAGAACCATTGAACCAAGAAAGATGAAACTCATAAGGAAGCATCCTGAGGTAGTGTAGACAAATCATGACCCCCGGGGTAGAGGGGGGGGGGCAAAGACTGATCAAAGTTTTACATAGGAATATGTAGGGAAATTCTTTAAAAATATTTTTTTCCAGAACCATTGGGCCAGGAAAGATGAAACTCATATTGGGCACCCTCAGGTAGTGTAGATTTTTAAGTTTGTTCAAATCCCGGGGGTTTTACATCTGGAATATTTACGAAAAATCTTTAATTTTTTCGCCAGAACCATTGGGCCAGGAAAGATGAAACTCATATGGAAGCATCCTCAGGTAGTGTAGATTCAAGTTTGTTCAAATCATGACCCCCGAGGGTAGGGTGGGGCTACAATGGCTGATCAAAATTTTACATAGGAAAAATCTTTTTCTCCAGAATAATTGGGCCAGGAAATTGGAAAAAAAAATGAAAAAAAAAATTTCCAGAACAGAAACGACTTGTTGTCAAATTGACATGTAAGGATCTGCAACTAATGAAGACTTAAATCTATTCAAATAATGCCAAGGCGGTGGTGGTGGGGTGTAGCTAGGGGTCACAATGGGAGAGAGAGTAATATGTTGGACAAATCTTTAAAGATCTTGTTTTTAGGTATGGCAAGTACATGTATGCTTTATTGATAAAGTGACATTCTCAGGTAATAAAAAATTTGAATCCTTCCTCCCCAAACAAGTAAGCTTTTCGATAATAAGCTGATTTGTGTTTTTAACTAGCTCATGTTCTCAGGTGAGCGATGTGGCCCATGATGCTCTGGTAAATAATTATGAAAAGTTACACCATATTACAGCATCAGTCTCATCATCTGACTGTGACACTTATAATGGACCCCCGTTACAGTGCCCAAGACATTATCATGTGTGATCTGTGTCAAAAAGCTGCATTACAGAGTCATTGTGAACTTTGTCAGATTAATCTATGTAAGGACTGTGTAGGGGAGCATCTCTCTGATTCATCCAAAAGACACAACGTTGTACCGTACAAACACAGAATTTCTACAAACTACCCGAAATGTCCAACTCACACCCACAAACATTGTGAACTTTATTGTGAGGAATGTGACATTCCTGCCTGTTCTTTCTGCATCTCCTCTGGGAAACATAAAGGACATGACGTATCCGATGCTCTGAAAAAACTGAGTTCTAAAAAAAAAGACTTAGAAAGAGACTTGATGGAACTGGAGGAAGGAATATTTCCGACGTATGAAGACATTTCATTAGATTTAAACTCTGAAAAAGTCACCTTGGAAAAACGCTATGAGAAACTGACAACATTTGTTAACAAACAAGGAGAAAACTGGCACAGAGGATTTGACATCATTGTTAACAAGCGAAAATATGAAATTAATGAAATGAAAAATAAACATTTGACTAAAGTAAATGAACAGGAATATGCTGTCAAACAGATAACAACTGAAGTAAAACAGTGCATTCTAGATCTGAAGAAAATACTGGACTCCAATGATGCCTCCCTTATATCTGTGTACAAATCCAGGAATGTTGAATTTAAAAGTTTACCTCCTAAATTCAACATTTCATTATCAAATTTATCTCGTCATCGGATGAACAAAAACAAACTCCATAAAATGTTTGTTCCTCTGTCAGAATTATCAATTGAAATCGACGAACATGTCTACACAATGAAGACACCAGAAGCTGTATACTCTGCTCAAGTCAGACCACTGCTTGATGAACCAGAGCTCATCACCACCATAGACACTGGGTATAAGGAACTATACAGTGTTACCTGTCTCAGTGATGAAAAAATCTGGACATGCGGTAATGACAAAATCATGCAACTTTTTAACCTCCAAGTCAAACTACTCAAGTCAATCCAAACCAAATCGTAGAACAGACCACAGGACATAGCAGTGACAAAAAGTGGGGATCCAGTATATACTGACCCTGGAACAAAAACTGTAAACATAGTGAAAAATGACCAGATACAAGAAGTGATCAGACTTGAGGGAAGGAAACCTTACTATGTCTGCAGTACCCGCTCTGGTGGCCTCCTGGTTACAATGGTAAGTGATGATGGAGAACAATCAAAAGTTGTCCGTTACTTTGGCTCTACAGAGAAAAAACCATTCAGTTTGATGGCAATGGTAAACCTCTTTATTCATCTGGTGGCCTTAAATATATAATTGAGAACAGGAACCTGGATATATGTGTCTCTGACTGGGAAGCCAAAGCAATAGTGGTAGTTAACCAGGCAGGAAAACTCCGATTTAAATACTCGTTGGCTCTTCAACTAAGAGATATTCATTTGATCCACATGGCATCACAACAGACAGCCAGAATCGGATCCTGACGTCAGACAGTGGTAACCACTGTATCCACGTCCTAGATCAGGACGGACAATTCCTCCGCTGCATAGATAATTGTGGTGTACTGGGTCCCTGGGGTTTATGTGTAGACACCAGAGACAACCTCTTTGTGGCTGAGCTTGGAAGTGGTAAAGTGAAGAAAAATCAAATACATGTAGGAGATTGAATTTTATGGTGGGAGATTGTATTTTGTGGTAGGATTTGATTTTACAGAGTTAGTAAATAATAATAACTTGTGTTGGTTAAGATCGTTTAGATTTAAATCGGAAACTATCCAGCTTTATATATATAATGATATGGAAAACGTCCTTGTCTGTGTTATGCATAGAATAGAGATTTTGACTGGATAAGTGAGACACACCTTCAGACCGCGGTTTGTTTAAAATATGGGCATTTCACATTCAGATCAATTGGTTTGGAATCTTCTCATCGGTTCATGCCTGCTCGCTCCTTTTCTAATAGGGGTGGATCTCTGCCTCCCTTTTGTTTCCTTTATTTACACGTCCATTTAAGTGTTATTTCCAGTTCCTTATTTGTATTTTTTGGTAAACCGGTTAGGTTAGACATAGAAGATTTTTCGTACAGGGGGTGGGTTATTTCTCTTCGGACTTAGCATTGGGTAGAACGGATTCTGGATTTTGTACATCTGTTAAGTAGGCATTATTTTTTGTCCATAAGTAGAAAGATCGTTACTACTGTAACATCAGTTTTTGTTGTACATATATAAATGTTAATGTTTTGTGCTATTTCATGTAATTAGATACAATTGTTGCCGTAATAAATACTTGTTAATTTGCAAAATTTTGTTGTTAAAATTCTTGGTTTGGTAAGTCACTTGTGTGACTAATTAAAATACAAAAGCTTTATTGGTTAATAAGAAATTGATATAAAACTCGAAGCACTATTATCTATAAAGAAAATATGTGATATTTGAGAGGTATTTTCATTCGATTATTTTCGTTACATGGTATCGTCGAATTTTCTAATTGCATTTGTACCAAGTGACGAAATCCGGTAACAATTCTAAAGAACAAAAGTTCTTTACAAAATACATGACGTGTTTTAGAAGAACAAATTCAGTCGTATCACATAATTGCTTTATTGAATTATTTACATTTGCCGTGGTTTTCTGGTAAATCAACAGTGAATTGACTTGAACATCATTTTTGTGTATACTCACGCGTAAAAATATACACGGAGATACGTGTGATAAGGTGACAATGAGGCTACAGAGACGTTAGAAAAATGCAACAATATAGGGCAGCGGGAAATTCAAATGTTGACTTTTTTGTTGGTGGTTTCAGACATGGTAAATGTAAATATAAGGAATGTTTTTAGTTTAATGTGAGTTATCGGTGTGTGAATCTCACATACTTGCACGTATGCATTTTTTTTCATGAAGTGCTGAAAGCGAAAAATATCAGATTGAATAATGTCTGTATTATCGTAGAAGTTGAAAACATTACGTTATTTTTAATTTCAATGTGTTTATGATGAAGTACATGTATTTACATTAATCTTTCAATTATGATTTAATTGTATGTTTACCTAAAGATCATTATTATCACTTTAATATAAATGATATGTAATACACAAAGGCACTAAAACAATCAAAGTACTGAAAGTACTGCTACGAGTTGATGGTATTGTTTATACGTTGCTTAACATCCCTCTCGAGAATTTTTACTCATATGACTAGGCATCACCACTTGCCAATGTAGAGCTGCAAATTTTGCCCTATGCTCGGCACACTACGGCCATTGATCAGTGATGGATCTTTTTTTGTGCCAGCACATACTGCAACACAGGACCTCGATTTATACGTTCTCATCTGAAGGACCGGTCGCCACGTCCCAAAGTGGGATCCGAACGCACGATGTAAGGATCAACTACTTACTGTTAAAATGAGTTGAGGTCACTGATACATATTTGGGTTATATGTATTATGTGCTCTGATGAAAAAAATAAATAAAGCAGCTTTTCACACATATATTTCAAACTAAGAGGACCAACCTTCAACAATATTAAAATAGGGAATTATAACTTACAAAGAGCGCAAATGAATAGAATCATTAATATGCACAATAATATGCACATTAAATACGTTCACTATTTTCATAAATTGACAAATAATTTGACATTTTCAGTGCACATCAATAAGTTTTATTTCTCGTGATTGAGTAACTCTTAAATTTCAAATCCTCTATTTTCATTGATATGCATATTACAAAATTCAAAATTTTGATTTGTTTAATATGGTTATTGAAATTCGGCTCATCGTCTTTCGAAATGTGCATGTATATTTGATACTAGTATTTTCCTGATTTAGCCACTCGTGAAATTCAACTCTTGTATGGTCTTTGATATGCAAAATAAATACTGCAATTCTCCCGATTTAGCTGCTCTTAAAATTCAACGCTTTTTGACTTTTAGTTGAAATGAACATTTTAATTTTATGTTTTTTTTTTCGTTTGGTTTAGACACTCTTGAAATTTATCTACCTGACTTCAATTCATTGATTTGCACATGTAATATTTCATTTCTATCAATTTAGCTCTTTTGTAATTCAATTACATGACTTTTTTGATAAATTCATGAAAGATTAATATTTCAATTCTTTTTGGCTTTTTGACTGAAGACTAAAACTTTATCACAATGGTATGGTATATTAATCGTTTACATAATCTATTTACTATTGAATATATTTGTTTTTTCAGTCTCTTGATTCACATTTATAAATACACATTTCTCATTTTATTTATGAATAATATCCGATTTAATCTTTCTGTATTTTTTTTTTTATTATTTTTTGCTGTCTTCTGTACTTTAAATTTACTGTATCACATTGCCAGCATCTAATAGTAAGACACAGCCGGATATAGTAAAGGAACTCTCTCTAGAGTAGCGCAGACAATGAGATAAGAATCACAGGCATGTTAAATGACCTTTACTGTATTTAAAACTTGCTGTGATGCAGATCTAAATCGTGGAAGACAATGGTTCTTTTACTGTATGCACAAGAAGTAATGGCATTTACTTAAAAATATTTTATCAACTGGTACAGCTCATTTCTTCCCTTTCAGATTAATATTTGATTAACTTCGACTATCTTAACTAGGTGTTTCTCGCTTTGTTTACAAACATAAGTAGTGTTCTATATATAAACACTTCATCACTAGTTATTGCGGGAAAATTGCACTGGTCATTAGCATACTGGATCAGCGCAAGGATTAGTTTATTTATATACCACTAGCACGTCAGTCTTTTAAAAATAACCTAGTTTGTACAATATTTAATTGCGTAAATTTTCTTTCAAGATCTATTTTTAAATTACTTAAAATAAGTTGAATTAATTGAAAATACTAGTATTTACTGAATTAAAAATCAAACCTTTGTTTGCACGACATGTCACAATTTTTGACTGCATGCCCCTTGCACTATTTTCTCTCGTAGATTGACACAAATTCCAAAAAATAAAATAATAAGTATTTAAGTTTATAAACACTTCAAATCATATCAGGAAACATATTCTTATTCTGTAGATCATGAATATTGTAAATAAGCCAAAATTATACAAGAATCTGTATTCAAAATGCTCAAACGAAAATGTGATTAGTTTCGATACATGGGAAATCCCTTACCAGTAACATAACTTGAGTTGATGCCAACAACTCGTAAAAAACAAATGAATTTTATTCTGGACATGAAAGAAAAAAAAACGTTCTTTTTGTTGTTCAAAGTGAAATTGTACAATTTAAATTCGATATTGTTCAAAGCACCGACAATATAGAAACAGTCAGCTGACGGAATGTGTGAATACATAATAAGCCATTTAACGTTAACGGATTTTATATTTTTACAATTGAAGATTGATATTGACATTTCCGTCGTCTTTAATGATACAGATTTACATTTATCTCCTAAAAGTTAAAAACCTTTGAAATGTCACTTTGGAAGGGATTTAAATTTTTCCATGTAATTAATCATCTAAGGGTGAATGTTATCGCTGCACGCTAATAGTACAAAATATCACCTTTATTCGTTATCCCTTCATATAACTGAGTAATTTCACGTCTCTTTTGATGAGATTTGCAGAGCGCCATGAACATTGTAAAAGCTATGGGGGAGAACTACAGCAGACTTACATTGTAGATAACATATGTACAACAGCAAGAATTGCCGTCATTTGGCTTTTGTTATCTATCCCTTTTATAGAAACAGGATTTGTACTTATAAACTTATTTCAAACGTAGAAAATATCAATGATCTTAAGAAGGATTTAAATTGATAATTAAGATTTAAAGATATATTTCTAACAATAAAATTACCTATCTATTACTGTATAAGTTTTAAAACTTGCCGCTTTAATGAATAGTCCATTCTCCAAATGGAAATAAAGAAGAAGGCACGGTGTCACGTTTTGTCCGCTGACTAATTATGTCTGCCGTCACTTTGGGCTTTTAATGTGTCCTACGAATCATGGTCTAAAAAATATGAAATTGGTTCTGAGAGGGGTTGAGTAG